CCTCGCCACGGCCTGCAGGGCCGGGAGGGTCCGCCCGGGCCGGGCCAGGGGCTGCGGGGTAAGGGCGGCCCCCCTTCTCGTCCCCCGCGGCTCCGCACCGCTACAGCCCACAGCCCCCTCCCCTCCCCGGCCGGGAGCAGGGCAGGGCGGCATTCCCGGCCGGAGNTGCTGCGCGCGGCCGGAGCTCCGCGGGTGGCTGAGGGGACAGCCTGGCGCAGCCGACAGCACGGCCCTGGGGGCGGGTGTTCGCTCGGAGCTGCTTCTGCGCCCTGCTGAGAGTGCGTGTCACAGGTTCCGTTGGGTTGGAAAAGACACCTTCGAGTCCAACCTGTGACCGAACCATCACCTTGTCAATTACACCATGGCGTTAATTGCCATGTCCAGTCTTTCCCTGCACACCTCCAGGGACGGTAACTCCACCACGTCTCCAGGCAGTCCAGACCAATGTCTACTCACCCTTTCTGTGAACAAATCCCCCTAATGACCAACCTAAACCGCTGCTGGCGCAATTTTAAGACTTAAGACTGTTGTTCTGTCCCTACCCAGGAGAAGAGGCTGAACGCCACCTGATTCCAACCTCCTTTCAGGTATTTGTAGAGAGTGTCCATCGTATTTTATTGAGGTGTCCAATGCCTCGCACCTTGTTTCTGTGCTATCTAGTGCTACCTTGGAAGGATCTTTTCCCAGGAGCAATACCCTCCCTGACTTGAGGCAGAATCCACTAAATTGAGTTGCCACACTAGGCAAAATTTTCCTTAAGTTGCCTTCACTATCTCCAGAACAATTTACCTGCATGTAGAGGATAAGGGAGGCATGGCAGCAGGCACTCTCTTATCTTCAGGTCACTTACATTTTTGCTTTTTATCTGTTGTAGTTGTAGCCCTGCAGTTTTGCCACACTTTCTACCGCTTTATACAACTGAAAACTTCCAAGTGTATAGGCCAGAATATGTGTAACAATAATAAAAAAATAAATTTAGAAAGCCTTCATGCCAAACGTGGTTTGGATCACAGTCTGCAGAAAGCTGTCATCCAAAGAAGGTATGTACTGTTATATTTTCTTATTTTTAATTCTACATTCCAAAAAAGGCCCTAAACAAAGCCTGGAATTCCCCTGCTTGTAACTACAGATAAATATTTTTGCAAACAACTTCTGCACAATCATAGAATCACAGATGTGACCCACAAGGATCATCAAGCCTCTTGACCTGCTCAGGACAACCAGAATCATACCATGTGCCTGAGATCAAATAATAGCAAATATCAGAGAACTATGCAATTGCCATCTTTCTTAAGCTTTTATGTTGCCCACCAGTGTTTAATCTTTCAAACTAAATTTCAGGTACTTTTTTTTTTTTTTTTTTTTTTTTTTTTTTTTTTTCTTTTTTTTTTTTTTTTTTTAAACAGAGAGCTAGAGAATTTGAAACCAGTTAATTCACAAAGCTAACTGTTCAGGTAGCAGAAAGACAGCAGAAAGAGTAGTGTCACCACTTCAGAAAAAGCTACTTTCTTTTAGAGGCAACTAGAGGCCGTTCCAGAAATATTTAAAGCATTAACTACATAAAAAGGTTTTGATTATAATCCTTATACTGGAATCGGTGGGAGGAAAAAAAAAGAAAAAGAAAATAATAAGCCATCAGTGATTAAAAGGAGCCATGAGAAAACAAGTTCCATGTCTTCTGGCGTTAACCACCACCAAAGCACATTCCCTATGAGAATCAGAGTAAGTCTTTCTAGCTCCTCTTCTAGGAATAACCTAGAATCATTCCTACAGGCAAATAAACAAAAAAGAAAAAAGAAAACAAATGCACCCCAAATAAACAAACAGACAAAGAAAAAACAAACACGAAAAAAGCAAAACCAGCAAATCCACCCCCTTTTAGCTCATATTTTTGTTTTCTTGTAAGCTGTTACTTTATATCCAAATAGGAATTTTTCCTTCACCAAACGCACACTGCCTGACAAAAGGGTTGTGTTCTGGTATAACATTGTCTGTCTCATCTCAAAATTGTTCTGTGCTGCTGCCACTGTAGCTATCTTACTGCATGGGCAGTAAGTGCTGGCAAACTTCTATGAAAGTGATGCAATTTATTGCAATTCTTGCATATTGCTGCAAAATCTAGAATTTGTCTGGGCTTGTGTTGTCTGTACAACAGAGTCACACACAATGGGGTGAGCATTATTTGCAAGCTGCAACTTCTACTCCACATCTGTTTTTATGTTAAGTGTTTTTCACAGTTTGGGTGAATCTTGTAAAGTGGCCAGAGTGCAGAGTCCAGCTTCCATAAGATTCAGTCTGTGATGAGCGGTGGAGTTGAGGAGGTAACTGGGATTTGCCAGGTCAGGATAACTGTAACTTCTAGTCCACCTCCAAGCTCTCTTCACTGAGGGTACAAACAAGTGTCCGACTTGTGAGACTACTAGTGGCACCAAGAGGGAGCTGGGTGTTTAGTCCTCATTCACACCCATATTTTCACTTCTTTGTCCTCCAAGGAAGCCGCCTTTTCTTTTCGCTTTATTTATTTGTTTATTTATTTATTTATTTGGACTGTGATACTCTTGTTTCATATTCTGAAACTGATTCTGAGCAGCAATATCACTACTATGCCATGTGAGAACATTCAGCAGTACAGATTTCATTTGGTACAACCTTATGCTAGATCTGATATTGACTATACTCCTGTAGTTAGCGTGAAGGGGATTCTGCAGTTCTGGGATAAAATCATGACCAGTTCTAACCTATTTCCTTCTTTGTTTGTTGGTGGTGCTTTGTTATTTATTTGTTTGTTTGTTTGTTTGTTTGTTTTAAGGGATAGTGTTGTTTTGGAGACTTTTTGCACCAGATTAGTCCTTTGCTTTCTGTGGCTGCAGAGGTCTAGCAGTACGTGTTTGAAAGATGGATTCATTATACCATCAGAACAAACTCAGTCAGCTGAGCAAACCTACTTTGTGCAGAATATGTCTTACTTCTGACAGCACTCAGCTCTTTTCCTGTTTGCAAACATCTTCCCGTTGACACAGAAAGAAGTGTTTTGTCCATCGGCCTCTCCCTTTTACTTTAAGGTGGGGCTTACAGCAGTTGTGTTCATTCGCTTGACACCTTTATAAATAAGTTTTAGCAGAACAAATTGTTCACATGTCATCCAGAATCAGAGTCTGGCAGTCCATCTTATGCACTGTCATAGCTCACATGGATCAGCACTGTATAAACATGAGTTTCAACACAGCAGAACTAGAATTTCCACCAGGTAATTCCCGTATCCTGTGTGACAGAATGTAAAGTAGAAAGTTCCAGGATTTCATAACCTAACCCTTATACTATTCCATTATATTTCCAGGCTTTTTTTTTTTAAAGCTTACAAAATGTTGTACAAACCAACACAGTAATTTTTTAGGCAACTTTAAAATTTATAAACTAGACAGTTTACATGTCACATTGAAGCCAGGAAGTTATAAACCATAGAATTCAAGTACCTCTGCAGTAAAACTTGCAGTTAAAGTTCTTTGTTTGCCTAAAGCAACTAGCTCTTACCAACACATTTGCTCCAGAATTGAGACTAAAATCAGTAATAGCAGAAAAAAAAAAAAAAAGAAAGAAATCTTTTGGTCATTAAGCTTATGTCACTGTCAAGATGTGAGGCTGTTAACATGATTAGTTAAAAGGACCATTTTTCACCACATAATTCCAGAAAAGCTGGCATCTATTTTGGCATTATTACTCTGTAATGGAAATCTATCATTATTTAAGTTGTCAGCATTTATTTTGAGACTTCATTATTTTTGGGAACACACACAGATACAAGCACCAAACCCACAAAACTTCACAGCATAATTCTTGTCCTGTGCTTTTCTATTATAAAGAGCTCTTTAATGGTAGAAAACACAGGACAAACACTCTACTGCCTCCATACTGGAGACAAGGTTTTCTTCTCCATGCCACAATGAAGGTGCTTATTCTTCCCAATCCAATTGTTTTCCAGGTCAAATAGTGGCACTAACTTGTCCAAGTTTAGTTTTGGTGTACAGGAAAAATGAAGGAAAGCGTCACATATTAAAAAATAGAAATAATTTTAAAAATGCAACTCACCAAATTTATTTGCTTTGTCATGGACCTTTTATCAAGTCAAGCTTTTCCATTCTAAATTGTAGAGACATGCTAAAGGAAAGCAATCAAACAAACAAAACCCACTTCATTTTTATGCCAGCTGTCACAAATACCAGAATTTAATAGTCAAAAGGCACCTCTATGCATCTCTCAATCCACTTTTGTCTTTATACAATTTATTGTGCTAATGCTTAGACTTTAATTCCACCTTAGAAAAAACCCTGTTGTCTTTTCCTTTAAATGCTTTCTTTAAAGTTTATTTAGCGTGCACAAAAAATTGTGCAAAGCAAAACCTTACAGTGTAATGCTAACAAATATATAAGCTCTTCAGTTAATTACTTCCTTTAGGTGGGGAGATCAACAAAGAAAATCCAACAACTTACATTTGCCATGGTAATATAATTGGCATTAAACTAAATAAAAAATAGGTACAGATTGAAGTAAAAGAGAATATGAATGACTAACTTTTTCCTTTCAAAGTTTCAGTAATTATTACTATTATTCCACAAGATTTCCCCTTACACAGAAATTCAGATTATACATATATTAAATATGTATATATTGATATTTTAAAAATAATTTTAAAATATTTAAATAAATATTTTAAATTTATGTAATATATACTATACTATATAATATATACTATTATATTATTAAAATATATGTAATATAGTATAGAATATATATATGTGTGTGTGTGTGTGTATATCTATAAATATCTAAACCATCTGTGCACTACATGAAGTAAAACACAGCTGATGAAATATTACCAGGACATAATTTTTAATCACCCTGAAAAGCAAGAAAATTAATGCAGAACATTTTAGCCAACAGTACTGAAGTGTGTGAATGAAGTAGTAAAAAGTCAAAAAACAAACAAAAAAGTATTAAAAACCCACAAAAATACTTATTAGCAGTGTTTTATAATACGTTACTGCTTTGAAAATATTATATAGGTTAAAAGAAAGATCTAGTATAGTTTGGCATTCAAATCTATGTATGTCAGAAAGCTTTGAAACTGGACCCTGGGCTGAAACTGGTCTGAAACTTGGAAATTTCAAGTCCTCTTCAACATAACTTATGGAATAATGTTCACTGGATTGTCACACAGGATGAAGAAACAAAGACTCGGATGTAATGCCATTGAAAAATCCTACCATAGAAACACAGGGCTGGAAAAATCCACTTAGGTGATCAAGCCCAGCCTTCTACCAGAAATGATGCAATGTACATGAGAAACAATAAATCCTTCATCCTTTACAAGGCAGGGAACAGCTGAACTCTATTGAAAAATAAATTAGCTTATCAGGGAAAAAAAAATCCCTAGCAGTTCAAACATGTTCATCTGCAGGCAATAAGCTTGGGTATCCTCAAACTAAAAATGGGATCAGATTATATTTCCATTTTTTTCCATTTCCTTATTTCCACACAAGGCGGGAATCATCTTATGAGACTTCTCAAATAGATAAAGCAGGTCAATTTTAAATTCAAATTCCAGACTCAGAGCAGAATGCCAGGGGTATATTTAGAACAATCGTGTTGTCAGTGAAATCTTTGGAAGTCTAGCTAAGAAACTGAAGAGATGGTGCTGTGATCACAGGGAAAAAAAAAACAGTCTAGGATGCAACTGCCTAAAACTTGTTACAGTTATCCATGGATATATTTTAAGTAACTGTAAATCACTTAAAACAGTTTTCTTGAACAACTGTAAATTACACCTTTCAGGCTTTGTGTTGCTTATTAAATGCAGAGTCCAGGGGTTAAGTTTAATTAATAATAATTTAATCAATTAAAAATAATTCAGTGAACTTTCTCAGCTCTTAAGTTCAAACACCAGAAACTTTCTACTCATGAATCATCACACTGGATTTAATGAACTCTGAGGTATATGCATATACCTGTTGCTGCACGAGTCACACTATTCCCTGTAGAATTCCTTTTTCCTGTAATCTTATAATTGCTAAGGACTACTACATTAGTCACTTAACATGTAATTTTCTTACAAATATGCATCAGTAAGGCAGCCAAAAGGAACTTTCCATTTCAACTGGTCCTGAGAACAAGCACTGATCCCAATATTTCTAGAAGCATATGTTAGACATTTAGACCAAGAGGCAAGCACCCAACACACAGTTTATTATTCTACTTACATTTTAAGGTTTTCAGATTTTCAAAGCACTTGTGCAAAGCATATTTGGCCATTATTTGTGGGAGAGTCTGCATCTCTACTGTTTCCCATGCAAGACTCTGCATCTGAAGGTATGGATTTTGATGTACTGAAGTTTATCATACAATTTAGTGACATGCTTTAGTAACATTGAGAATTGGGTCTTTGTCCCAGACACTTGTGGCTGACCTGATAAAACTAGGAATGGATCTCACTCAAATGGCTTCCTCACTCGTTGCTCTCCCTTCTGCTCTCATTTCCACCTAAAGACAGAAAAATCAAGAAATTTACCAAAAGAGGGGTAACACATCAAAGGAAAAACTAAAAATCCTGCAAATGGATAAAAGTCCCAAGGAATAAATGGTACTACAGTAACCAGAGTTATGACAAACAAGAAAAAGTAAGCCACACCAGAGTACAGTGGCACACCGTCCTGGTTTCAGCTGGCTGGAATAGAGTTAATTGTCTTCTTGGTAGCTGGCACAGTGCTGGTTTGAATTCAGTATGAGAATAATGTTGATAACACACTACTGTCTGAGTTGCTGAGTGGTGTTTACCCAAAGTCAAGGACCTTTCAGTGTCTCATGTTTTGCTGACGAGCAGGTGCACAAGAAGCTGGGAGGAGCATAGTCAGGACAGCTGACCAAAACTGTCCAAGGGGATATTCCATACTCAGAACAGCATGCTCAGTGTATGAACTGGGGGAACTGGCTCCGGAGCTGCTGATCACTGCTCAAGGATGGGCTGGGCATCAGTCAGCAGATGGTAAGCAATTGTACTGCATATCACTTGTTTTTCTTGGGATTTATTGCTCTCTGTCTCCTTTTCATTACTATTATTGTTGTCGTTGTTGCTATTACAATTACTATTATTATTACTGTTATTATTATTATTATGTTTTAAATTGTTTCAGTTATTAAACACTTCTTATCTCAATGCATGAGTTTTACTGTTTTTTCCTGTTTCTCCTCCCTAGCAGGGCAGGGCAGGGAAGTGAGCAAGTGGTTATGTGGTACTTAGTCGCCAGCTGGGTTCAAGCCATAACATATACATACACCCAGAAAAATGTCTTCATCCATCAACATTTCCCACTTATTCAAATGTCACTGACCCACTTACAGAAAGTTGTTTTCTTGAAGTACTTGCATTACCTTGAAGCAGCCAGCGTAATTGTTCATTAACAGTTAAGATAGGTGCTAAGAAAATCCACAGAACTATTTTTTTGTTTAAATGAACTGGTCACAGAGGTGAGCCACATCAAGAAGTCTAAAACCTCTGACTCCAAATTCAAAGATTTTTTTTTTTTTCCTTTTTTTTTTTTTAATCCCCCTAGAACTGTGCTGGTACTTAGAGGTCTTTTAAAAGAAGAGAACTAGAGTACTGAATTTGTGGCGTTATGAGGTACCAAGAAAATGACAACAATAATTACTCCGTAATTATTTTAATGTCACTCCTTAGGTAACAGAAAGGACTGCAGTGCCAGACAGTCAAAGATGAAATAGCTTTAGTTATGCTCTTACATAAAAGTAGGTCTCATTATGTAAATCTTCCTTCTGTCTTTGACAGAAATACAGGTATAGGTTTCTAGGTTAGTACTACACAATATTCCAACTCAACCATCAACACCATATAGAACAAAAAATAAATAGGTTAATGATTAGATGATGAACAAGTACTTTTTGAGATGTATATGTCCCTTATCCATAATAACTGAATTTACTTCTACCCTCTTCTTTTGCAACTAAACAGTTTCCAGTTCCTTATACACTACAGAGTAATTGAAAGATTAGTCTTGAACAAGGAAAAACAAATATCAAAAAACCCACAAAAAACATGGCACAAAGCTATATAATGTTTTAATTTTTACAATCGAGTTATTTAATATTCACAGGTAGCATATGCTTTTTAATATCAGCATCAAGGAAAACAATAATTACCTCTTTTATATTTTTTTTTTTTTATTTTTTTTAGAGAAACAAGACCACAAAAGTAGCATAGCTGCAACAGCTTCCAGCTCTGTACCACTACTGTTATTAAGCAGACAGGCTTTATTTTACAAACTCAAAAAAAGTGCTACTTAGTTCTTTCAGTTGCCAAGCAGACAAAATCCTGCTAGCCTTCAGTTAGTTCACACACTGTCTCTCACCTTCCTTTCCTTCATTTTCTCACCCCCAATAACATGGTTCTCTCTGAGCTTGGACTGCCTTTGAGACCGAACAGCCTTAAGCTGGGGATCATATACCTTAGCACATTCACAGCTGTGTGCTACCATTTCTCAAAGTGAAGGGGACTAATTTCCTAAATCTGTAACATCAAAGCACAGTGTTATCAAAAAAGACTAAATATAATCCTTGATTACAGAATGGAGAAGTGAGGAAAAAGAGAAGGGATTCTGACTTTTTACATCATGTTTTTGAGTTACACCTATTCCTCCTGCCATTTCACTGAGTAGAAGTACTCCTAAATGAATTTAAATTGCCATAAAAAAGTTTGGATAGAAACACCCTTTCAGGCTGCAATACAAAGGTGCGTAGCTGGAACAAGGATTACAGCTGATCCTATCCACTGTCCATGCCCCAAGAGCCAGGGAAGAAATGCAGGTTCTTATAATGTTGTTTACTTAGCAATATATCAAACCCACTATTCATGTATATATTTTTTATGTTTCATGAAGACATTAAAGAAGTATTTAGAAATAACTGTTTCATCAACAAGCATTGACATGGGCCTCTATGAGGTCACAAAATTTAAGGTTTTAAAAATCACAACTTTCAAAGTAGCAACACTGTAAACTACATTATAATGCTTTTTGTGATGGTGCAGTAGGAATCAAGTATTTTTTGGAAAGAATGTACACCAAATTTCATTCTTGTTATATAAATTTAATGCCAGGCTAATATTCTGTCATATAGAAATCATTAGACATCAGGAAAGGAGCAGTGTGCTTTCCAAGAGACTTTGCTCTTTGAATTATATCTGTGTCTGTTTCTACATCCTAATTTTTGTAGTCTACAGAGCAAAAACCTAGAATGAATATTAGAACTTCTTATTCTATGATTGACTGACTACTGAGTGCTTATAGAGCAGGTATCTGTGAGGCTTTACCCAGAAATGGAATTCTATATTTGTATCAATGTGTATAGGTACAGGCATTTGGAGCAACATACAAAATAAGAAATCACATGGAGGTGTAGTATCCCCACCTCTTTCTTCCAGAGCCACTTTGCAGGTGTTGTAAGAGTAGGACTGCTTGCAGAAATAATCTGGAAGATTATTAGAACCATGTCTAGTTAGAACCATGTCTAACTGTGGAATTTAGGACAACCTAACAACCTTCTTAACACCTCACTCCATTCTAAACAGCCATTGAAATAATGATTTTAAAGCAACAATATGTAATATAGATTTAGTTAGTTACATTTTGATGACAGCTTCAATTATTTTTTGCCCACAACAGTCACATCTTGGAATCATGACCTATAACCCCTTCTTTAGAATAGTCATGCTTACCATAAAAAGGGAAGACTTACTTTACTTAATAATAGTCATCTAAAGGTTAGGCATCTCAGACCAATCTGGCTTAAAATCAGATATGTACTTAAAACAAAGTACTTATCTCAGTCTATCACAAGCAGTTAATATCCTTCATGTATGATTCCCTGATTTTAATCACCTGTGTGTGTATTAGCTGTGCTGCCTACACTAGACAAGCTCTTTCCATTGTAAATGAAAAGAAGAAGTATCTCCAAATAGCACTTCATCCTGCTTGTTTTTATGGTGGAAGAATTCCCCTCCAGATGTGCTCATCATGTTTTAATTAGAGCTTGAAACAGATAAATAGCAGATAAAACCTTCAGTCATCTCTTAATCAGGCAGTTATGATGTGTTTTCCAGTCCTTTTACTCATCTTGATGCAATGCAAAGCAGCAAAATAAGAAAGCAGATGTGCCTTATGGTGCAAGTCTTTCTAAAACGTGTTTGAAGGCCATTTACTTTGATTACAGGTGAACATTGAATGCAGTTTACCTTTCACTATAGTTCTGTTCTTGTAAGAGCAAGGAAATTCAAAATAGCCCCTAAACTCTTATCCTATTTTACCAAGAAAAGAATAGCAAGCCTTACAAATCTCAATCCTTGACCTCAACAATGGCTTTTCAGAGTTCAGGAGTTTTGCCAGTCAGCTACTGTCATTTTGTTTTCCACACCAAGTGCCCTTTAGCTACAGCTATATCCCACTGTTGTCCTAAGACCTTAATTGTTGGAATGCTTCTGGCTGCAGCTCATCTAGTTAATTTTTCCATTGCACTTAAACAATGTATGGTTTGAGTTTTGGTTTGGTTTATTTTGTTGTTGCTACTGTTTTGGTTTGTAGCTCTCAGTGTTTTTGTTGCTGTTGTTTTTGTTTGTATGTTCTTTATTTTTGTGTGTTGGTTTGTTTGTATAGGAACTGCTTTGACTGGTGCTTTAAGGTACTATGTCAGCCGATCCCCTAGTTTGTCCCAGTTTTAGGAAGTTCTGCAATGCATTTTCTTTGTTGCTAAAATTTATAACTTTGGGTTTGCTTGATCTTTTTTACCTCATGACTTTCTAGAGTTTTACTTCTGCTATGTTCTGAGAAAAATAGAAAAGCTGGTATTTAGTTTATTGTTGTCTGAATCCAAACCTTGGTTTTCATGTTTAGAGGAGCGTTGGTCATCTAGTCCCATGCATGTTTTAGATACATGCATAGATAAGGTGAGGCCTCTCATGGAGTCAGTTTTTCCCTGATATTAAAGAACAATGTAGGAATATCTCTTGAATATCTCTGAATTAATTTTTTTAATTAGCAACATTTCTGTATAAAATTTATGATGAAGCTGCCAAGGCTATCTGGATTTTCAGAAGTGAAATGAGTGAAAATTTGAGTTTAAGAAATTTGCTTTATTTGAATAAAAATAATTGAATTATGGGCATGCTGATAAATAAAAGTTCTATAGCCAGAAGAGCACTAGTTGTTATTTGAAAATCTTACTCAATGTCTAGTAAGAAAATGTCTTCATATGTCTTTATGAAGTTGGAATGTCTTGGATGCTTAGTGCTTTGTATTTGAAAGCAGCCAAGTTTGAAGTTAAGTTATATTAGTAACTTATTTATGGTGACTTGGAAATAAAAGCTAATACAAATTCAGTTTAAATGAGTGTAGCTAATAGCAGATAATCTAATGTCGCAATATCTGGGTCCAGCGACAAACTGTATTCCAGCTTCATATCAGGTGAAGACTAAA